AACAGTGAGCAAAAAATTCCGATTTGCGATATTCTTAGAGCAATTAATTCTACAAACATTTTGACACCAAAATGAGCTGAGCAATTAATTGCTTTAGGGTACTTTACTGTTGTACGCGAGCCAGCACAGCCACACTCTTGGTGGAATTTTTCGACTTAAACAATGAGCAAAATAATCGGGAATAGAGCAAAAAATTAGCAAAAAAATGTGGTATAGGTCGCGTTTGATTGTGCTGAAATGGCTGTGCCAGCTTAATAGACGTGATTATACTGATAGATACAGAATAAAGACAACGATGCAGGAAATATATTTATTTTTAATTTCTAGGTAAAATGTACATCTAAATACAGGCAAAAGATACTTAAGCACCAGTAAACGTAGAGATTCACAGATGTAGAGATGAGATCGATTTTTTTTCAAAGGAGAGAGAGAAATAAATAAAAGTAAATTTTTTACCTGAGGGTATAGAATAAGAAATTAGCAAAGACACGGATTAAAAATAAAATCGTTGTCTAACTCTCCTAAATCTATTCCGATCTATGTCACAACCGGTTTCATATGCTTCTAGTAATAAGCAAAAAGTTTACCTTGTCCAAATTCTACCGTCTTATTAACTTGCTGTCAATTTTCTCACTTAAGTCGAAACAAAGTACTTAAACTTATTATCTTTGTTTTTTTAACTATGAAGGTACCTAATACTTTTGTGCTTTGCTATTTTCGTACTTAACGACGTAATAATAAACAAGGATGAGGCTGCGACTAACGAAGCAGTTTGACATTTTCTATCTGGCAACCTTTCTGTCCCGTAAAATCGTGCACGCCCACTCGACGTGGAATTTTTTTGTCTATTTTGGAGAATAACGTTCAGGATCTTCGGTATCGTGAACACGTGTACGTGCGTTCCCCTACCTAGTAGCGCTACCTTTGCTGCAGTCTGCGTCCTGGAGTAACCATGACCTTTGAGCCGCAACAATCGGCCGGCCACATCGTCTCAATGATCGCTTTGCATGTTAACGCGGTTGATATAACGATCTGCGACAAAGGCAGTCGTACTGTTGACGACTTCTCAAATATTCACCAAATAGAATTTTATAAATTGCACGTTCTACGAATGGGGATCTTAATGAAAGACATCGTCCTATTCAGTTCAAGTTACGAAACATTCGGCAAAATATATTTAAAATTGTAGATTTTTTAGCATTAGTTTGTTTATCGCGAAGTGACTAGACGACCAGGGGCACTATTCTGTAAAGGGTCCTCTACATAGAAGTCGTAGACGGTCGTGGAGTCTTAGTCGTAAGAAACTGATCAATTCCAATCGAGTATTCTCCTTATATTTGATTGTGATTGGTTGTTTTCCTACGACTTAAGACTCCACGACTATCTACGACTTCTATGTAGAGGACCCTTAACTGTCTTTACACGCCTACCGACAGTTGTCGGCGTCGTTGCGCAGATATTTTATATAGTGAAAAAGCTGCGCAACAACACCGACAACTGTCGGTAGGCGTGTAAAACAGTTAAGGGTCCTCTACATAAAAGTCGTAGACGGTCGTCGAGTCTTAAGTCGTAGGAAACTGACCAATTCCAATCGAGTATTCTCCTTATATTTGATTGTGATTGGTTGATTTCCTACGACAGACCATCTACGACTTCTATGTAGAGGACCCTTTACGGAATAGTGCCCCAGACACTCGACCAGACACATTTGCAAGCGGTTCGGATTTCTGGAAAAAAAAAAAAAAAGTAATATTACAAGCAAAAGAAAAGAAATAAAAATTCGTTCATGCAGACAGTTTTTTGTCAAAGAAAGTAACGTGGTGCGTGAGAAGAGTGTCAAATGAGAGAGTACAGTTGTATCGAACCCTCCTCTCGCACTTTACACACGCAATCGAAACTGCGAGCTGACATGCGGCGAAACAACGGTTGAATGTGAGCCCGTATATGCTATTAGATGGTATGTATATACGAAGCCTATTATTTGTGATAATGTCACCCACTTCCCTCGTCTCGTGCCCAAAAATACATATGTTCAATATAACAAACTAATGCGCACACCATGCAGTACGTTGATAATTTTGAGTATTGCGTACGTGACACAGCAAATTTTTAAAATATAATTGCATAGGTAATTCCTACATATAATTATGCGACTTCGATTACAATATCATCATATACATACATGGATGGAAATATTTCTATTACATTAAATATCAACTCCGATTTTGCGATCGAAACTCTCTAATGTTTTTAATATGCACGTTAGAACATTGCATTGCAAAGCAATACCCTGTCTTTTGCAACTACAAATCAGTGAAATTGCTAGACAAGTATCCGGTATCCACAACGTATTCCCTGATATCGAATTGAAGCATTGAAAATGATAAACTTAAACAGTTCTCCTATTTTATAACTTTAAGTAATAATTTTTAAATGTTTTAATGAAATTTCAAATAGTAAACTTTCTTTTTTTTTTTAAAGAATTTCTTTTAGATCATCTTTCTCCGTTCATTGCCTACATTCAAATAAAACAAATTATAATTCACAATCGGTCACGAAAAAAGAAACGTAATGAGAAACTCGATGGAATAAATGAACTACAATTGCATCGTCATTTAAATGTCTCGATTCAACTTCCTCTCTTTCCATCGTAGATAAAATAAAAAAAGAATTACATCAAGTGAAACAGGTTGAAATTTCAAATCACATCACACTGTTGACGCCAGTTCCGGATCCACACCGTCGTCAGTGGTGTCAGTAAAGAAAAAGTTCTCATCAATCTTACCTGTTTGCCGGCGCGTGGCAGCGTCTCCACGTTGGTACCGCCGACTACGGGAGCCTTTTCCGGTCCGCCGTTCTGCTGGCTGACGTTTATGTTGGCGTTAACATTGGCGTTAACATTATTGACGTTATCGGTGACGTTCGTGTTCATATTTGCTCCAGTGTTAACGTCGCCGGCGCCGCCACCGCGCTTTCCGTCCTCGCCCGTCATCCTTCAGCCGTACCGTCGATTCACCCTCTCGTTGTCTCACACCCTCGTCACCCTCGCCACCTCCGCCGCCGCCGCCGCCGCCGCCACCGCCGTCGTCCTCGCCGCCCTCGTTCCGCTTATACTTCCGCTCGTTAATTCTCAACTTCGGTCCACGCCTGGGAATCCCGATATCTGTACGGCCGATCGAGAATCGAGAGAAGTATGTATCAAAGTGCGGCCGTGAATGACGCTTAACCGATAACGTGTCATTTATTTTAGCCTCTTAACGCGGAGTTTTTCTTTCCCGCCGAGACACGGAATCTAGACTATTAATAGACGAAACTTGGCTTTTATTAGCGCGGTATACACGGGAAGCTCGAATTGGCTTGGCGACGTTTAAAATGAATCGCGTTGTAGCTTCAAGGGCTTAAACACGATCTTATGTTTAAAGTGAACCTGAAACTATTATGAACTCGATCCATTTCGAGTGCCTCTCAATGGTAAAAATTAATTCCCACGACGGGTGACGACCAAATAAAATATCGAGCACGCGGTGTAATATGGTCCCATCGGACCGAATTACTTTGGTTGTTCTTCGAGGAACGCTATTTTTAGTCTCCACGAAGCGATACGGGTGGTATAACCGTACATGACGAAACGGTTCACAGGCACATTGTGAGCACCATCCTCCCGTTAACTATTCGCCAAGGAGGAAGAAGCGAGCGAGCCTCGCCCGAAGTGCAATCTTACCGCTAAAATCACCAAACAACATAAAGATCCGAAATTACATTTCAAAGATATAAAGCGTCTCTCAGACGTCTCGATCGTGCTCAATCTGTTGTTTGGGATGCTCCCAATTCATTCGAAACACTGTACGTCGCGATTCTACTTTTCTCGCAAATAAATCACGTTCGAATCGTCTAACATAACAATCGTAAAAGCGGAGACCAGACTCTCTCCGAGCTTTTGGGTGGGAACGCAAGACAGGATTCGATGTCAGGATCGCGTGAACTCTCCGCTCGAGGGGGTCAAAGAACGAACGGGGCCCTAACCCGTATCATACCGACGCGAATCGTCGCGTAATCTCGCGACGATATCTACCGGGGTGAAATAACGGTGAACGGAAAACGATGTAATCGACGAGGAGTCGCGAGAAGTCGGGAACCCTCGCGAGGAAACGCGAGGCGACGCGACGCGGCGCGACGCGGGATGCGAGCGGTAAACCCGCACGGTCGACGCGACGGTAGTACCACCGGGAAAATCGATTCGAGCGTGTCCGTTCGAGGCACTGCGCGCCTCTCCGAGCCGTGGCGGTCAAAGTGCCCGTCGCCCGTCGCGTTCCGGCGTTTACTTACGGCTTCTTCACCGCTCGGGGACAAGTCTCGAGATGCAGATTTTCCGAAATTCAAAATAGCGCACGTTTTTCTTTTCTTTTCTTTTCCTTTTTCTCGCCTCGGCGCTGCACCCTCGCTTTAACTCCGTTCGTTTCCGGTACGTTCCACTCTAAACAGTCGCCCATATGTTGCAGGACGTGATTTGATTATTTTTATATGTTCGCGTTTTGTTCTGCGCTTAAATTTCTTTTTAAACAGTTTGAGAACGAAAGAAAGATTTGAAAAGAGAAAGAGAGAGAAAGAGGAAGAGGGGAGAATAGAAATGTTTAGTCATAAGTATTAATATATATTTTAATTATTTATAGTTAATATCGATGTGAAATATGAAGGTCTTTATTCACAAGAATATTGCATTGTAAAAATAAAGACTCAACATACGACGATAATATATGTAACATAAGTCACAGGTGAACTGTTGAAGAACCGATGATGACTTTCAAATTAGTACTTGAAAATTATTTTAATTCGGAGCATCTTTTGTAATTCGATAATTTCATAGCGACGTGGAAAACGTTAAACGATTCGACGGACGGAAAATCAAAATAATCAAACTGAAAGAGAGTAACACGAGAAAAAAGCGATTATCACGTTTGTAATTACAGTTGGGAATTTCGCATTGGCGGAAAATTGATACTTGTCGTAGTAAACACATCACTCTGTAATTGATACCGTGGAACAAATTCTTTAACAGCAAACATTTATGGACGCTCCGAGTCATCGGCGATCGGAACGAACCGGATCGCGCGAGGCGCGATTGGTCGTCGATGGGAAACAGGAAAACCTGGAGAACGCGCAAAACGACATGCTACATCCCGCAATTACTAAACCGGGATTCCACCGGCTGGTTTCTATACGCACACACATACGCGCATACATACATATGCATATAAAGTATACATGTATTTTTTAATACGTGTATACACCCACACAAGTGCTATATGTACATATATATATATGTGTGTGTGAATGTATATATAGGCATATGTATGTATATAATATATTAGCGTCGTACGGATCTGGTTCCTTGGCGCGGTACATTTCGCGTGCGATCGATCTCTCGAACCCTTTTTACCGCACTTCGGCCGAGTTTGCCGCGGTTCGATGACGCGCGGCGCCTCGAATCCGCACGATTATCGAGCGATTACGTTCGAACGCTACCCTAACGCGCGAATGGTCGTAAAAGGGGAGCAGCAGAC